TTGCTTTTTCCACTAATGGAAAGAACTCCCTTATTCTTTACAAGCGCTACAAACAATATTCATGGAACGGACACATCATAATTGCCTTGACTACAGTCGTTAATGAGCATGTATGCTGACACACATTCTTAGCTTTTATAAACACTATTAGCATTGTATATATGCTTGTAAACACATACATGTTTGTTCAGAACAAATTTCTGGAAGTGGAACAGCTAGGTCATATGTTTTTTTGTACTTATCACTTTGACAAAGATCTTACACTTCATCATTGTCTTCCTAATGCTGGATATTATCACTCTTTTTTCTATCAGATATTTGTCATATTTTCTTATCTTCAGTACACTTGTGATCGAACGTATTGGTCATTTGTATTTCTTCTTCCACGGTTTATTTACCTATTCATGTTTTTTGCCTGTGCTCAAATTTTTGATTTCTAATTATAGCTATTAACTGTCTGTTGCATACCTAAAGAGGAGCTGGCTTCTCTTCGTCTTTCAGCTTTGTTAGCAGTGGCAACTTTCACTTGCTTGATTTTTGAAAAGGTCAGGTTGACTTCTTAGGAAGTGGAAAGTAAGATCAGATATTTGGGAGACAGCATAGAAGTCAAACAGACAAAGGAATGATAAATGCCCTGGATCAAATGAATTTTCTTTTATTGTATTACCTAGTGGCAGTAGCTAAGATATTTTTAAAAATTTATTTCATTTTTATTGGAAAGTCAGACAGAGAGGAAGAGAGACAGAGAGCAAGATCTTCTCTCTGTTGATTCACTCCTTAAGTGACCGCAACAGCTGGAGCTGTGCCAATTCAAAGCCAGGGTCCTGGAGCCTCTTCTGGGTCCCACATGAGTGCAGAATCCCAAGGCTTTGGACCGTCCTTGACTACTTTCCCAGGCCACAAGCAGGGAGCTGATGGGAAGCGGGGCTGCTGGGATTAGAACCAGCGCCCATATGGGATCCTGGCAAGTTCAAGGCAAGAACTTTACTCGCTAGGCTACTGCACTGCGCCCATTAGCTAAGATTTTTAAAAGGAGATCTAACAGGCTCACACAGCAACCATCCAATGGTATCCCTGACTGGTGCATTTTCTTTTCCAATTTCCCTCTACAAATGTTTTCTAATTCTGGTTTCCACAGCCAAAATAGAAATCGCTTTTTTTTTTCATTGTAAGTAAAAATGGAAGTCTCCAACCGGTTGTAGCTGGAGGGAGGCTCCAGAAAAATGGTGGCCATCCTGTGGGAAGTACTGTGTTTTTACCCCACTCAATGATCATAACTTCTATTTATGCTTGCTCTCCGGAGTGAGAACAGCCAGGCCTGAAGTGGATGTAAGCCCTTTCCATGACTTCCATCCACTCAGATCCTCAGCAGTAATCCAGAGTTGGGCCATTTCCTGCAGCTCTAACTGGGGTGGAGGGCATGCAGGGAAGGGCCCCTTGATCTCTCGGACAATCTAACGGAAAGCTACGAACTCTCTCCCTGGCAAGCTGTACATAAACAACCACATACAAGGTCGCCTAAGAGCACAGCACTCAAGTTCCTATTTCAGAAAACATGGGATCCCCGGAAAATGCTGGCTTGGTGAGCTCAACTAGCCTGTGTGAGTGCTTGCAGGTGTCCTGGTCCACCCTGAGCTTGCTTCATTCGCCCTCAGACCGACAGCAGGCACTCCGCACGGCTGACTGCTGAATCACTTTTCATAGTTCCATCCACACAAGCCAGAACTTCCTTCCCTCATACTTCTTGGGCAGAGTCAGGTTTTCAAAGACATTCATGAGAGTCCACTTGGTCCCAGGCTCCCTTTGACAATCTTCTGTGTTCCTCTTTCAAAATACTGACAGATTTGTGAGGCAAAACTGGGCTTTTGTGAAGCCGGGCTGCCTATTTTTAATCCATCTCCCTGCTTGCCCCATCTTGCAAAATGTGTTCTTGCTGCTTTTCTGATGAGTGTTCCAGCCATGCAGAGAGAACCCAAGGCTCACAGATAAAGACCAGTCAGGGCTTTGAAACACAAACTCGTCTCCTCCAACACAGACACGGCTATACTTTACACTGAACATGAGCAGAATAAAACCTGTTTAGGGAAATAAGTTTCGTGACTACCAAATGCTGGAACTCAGAACAGATCCAGAATTAATCCTTGTGTGAAAAACAAATCACCATCCCCTACAATATCTTTCTTTTTTCCCTTGACTATTAATTAAGCACTAGTGGTGGTGATTCTGATTAGAGAGACAGACATCCAAGGCTGACACTGCATCAGGGTGTATGGTTTGTGCAGTGTAGGAGAGTCAAGTCAACAAAGTGACTGCGGCTAAAATTTGGCCAAGCTCACACACTTGCTGATTCGGCCCAGAAGGGGCGCCATTTTCTAATCCGGCTGTCTGACACAGAGTGCATTTTTCTAACACTCACAAGCCATCAAGGTTTAGTAGTTGGCCTGAAGACACCTGCACCACTCTGGTCTAATTTATTTGGACTAAATTAAACTGTCTTTGAAATCCAATCTAATTTACAGCCCATTTATAAGCCAGTAGTTCTGAAACGTCAGCCAGTATTAGAATCTTCCAGAAGACTTGTTTAAACTGATTGCTGGGCAATATACATTCAGGATTGCTAAATTAGTAGAGTTGAGGTGGGGCCTAGGAATGTTGGATTCTAACAAGTATCCAGGGAATACTATGGTTGCATTTCCGAAGACTTCACTTTGGAAACCAGGGCCACGCTCTCTGCATATAGCCAGAGGTGAGAGTTTTCTTACTTTGGACCTTTCCCCCTATTTATTAATAGAGTCCCATTGAGCCTGAATCTGCTAAAGAAAACTAAGCAACGTTAGGTAGCCAAAACTGGTGGGACAGTAACACACCCATCTTCCTAAAATGCCCACAGCTGTCTGACAGAGAAGACACTGTGTGGGCAGGGGCCATTGCCATTCATTGACTGACTGCACCAGCTTAATCAAGAAGCCATGGCATGCCTGGCTAGCACCTCAATGGTGTTGTTCTCAGCCCACTCGCTGACTGAAAACTGCTGTTTGTTTTGGTTGGGTCTGAGTGTGTACATAGCGGGTGGAACTCACTCTGGGTATTACAGGCACCTTGATGACACACACCCACTAACGGCCACACTGGGATTTTTAGGGGCACTCAGATACAGAAAAGACTTTTTGACCAAGAGATTCTTTGAGTTGTTGACAGCTTCCATCTAATACCTTCTAAGTAAACAGGCCAATGTTCTCCAAGTTTCCTGGCTGGGACATAGCCCATTTCCTTTGATGTAGTAGTCCAGCTTTGGACAATCTGAAGATTCTCTCCCCCATTGAAAAGCTTTATGTTCCTTCCTTGCCCCAGGCTCAGCTGAGCCATGTAAGAGTCCGTCCTGATCCTCCGTGCCCAGACATTGCCTTGAATTTCTTTGGCTTCCTGTATCACGTCTCCAATCAAACCCTCTTCTCTAGTGAAGAACCTTACAGAGTTTTAGCCTCTTGGTCAGAATGTGGCCACCCTTTTTTGATGTTGCCTTTTCTGAAAAATTCTCTTTGGTCCTAGGGAGAAACCTATTCCACCGCCTGTCTCCCAGTCTTCAAGTGGCAGAGTTTTGGCCTTTCAATGTCTGTTCTTCTGCCAAACTTCGCATCAGCTTAAGCTCATGATTCTTTGGGTATCTTTTTTTTTTCCTGTTCCCTTGGTGTTGGTAGCAAAGAAACCACAAACTCCAAAGAGTACAACAGATACCAGAAGATTTTTAACCCCTCTTTGGGATTTATGCTTCCTTTGAGAATCTGAATAAAGTTCACTAGAAAAAAAATCACTAGAAATATTTGAGGAACTGAAGAAGTCATCACAGAAGACTCTCCTTCCACCTATCCCACCAAAGAAAACTGCAAGTAGACAGGTCTTTGGGGGAACCTGAGGACAATGTGGCAAGCCACACGTACTCACGACATGAGCAAAGCATAGTGGCATTTGTGACTAGAAACATTAAATCATATTCTGTCTCTGGACAGATGTGGGGAGATGCACTGGCTCTCTAAAAGGTGCAGATCTGGGAAAATTGCAAAAATAAAATAAGTCTGTAGCCTACAAAATCATGTCTTTCCAAAGGCAATTCACAAATAGCCAACAACGTTAATAACCATCACTGTCTTTGTCCATTTCATTCACTGTGTCCTCTGACTTTCATGTTGGTGTCTTCTGCTAAGAACAGGGAAAGCATTGGTAGAACAAGGATGGAAGGACCAAAATGCAATATAGGTTACACTCAGGCCACATTTAATGTGACATAGGAACAAGCCAAGGAGGAGGGCAGCTTGCTAGACAACTGACCTGAAAAATCAGATCTAACCTAAGGCATCCACTGGGCGTGTTCCTCTCTATTTATAGCCAAGGACAAGAGCTGTCTGATGACTGATTCTGGAAATCGCAGAGGATTCATGTGGGCAGAGCAGGAGTTCACAGGGTCTGGGAAGAATGGTCCATCCGTCAGAGGAAAAAACCAACCTTGTTGTTATTTATTGGAAATGTGCAGAACTTGTTTAACTCTTTCTTGGTCACGAAACAGGCCAGCCTCTGTCTACCCTTAAAGCTTTGCAGAACCTTTATATTATTTAGTAAGGAATTGTTTCAAGTGTTTTTTGATTCAAAGGACTGTTCTGACTTGATATGATGCTATAGACAACTTTGATCTTGAATAGAAGTTTGGGATAAATCGAGTTGGGTCTGAAACCCATCCAAACAGAGAATGATGGAGCTCTGCAGATCAACTTGCAAGCATCAAAAACACCGAGGTCTTAGTTAATCAATAGTTCTGTGGTTATTTTAGCTCAAGTTTCTGCAATTACATCTTCATCATGCCTAGTGGATAATGCCATTTCCAACACAGGAAGCAGTGGCCTGCCTTTGTTGTTGTCCTAGGTAGCAGTTGAAACCAAATGGACCCAAAGCCCAAGTCCATGTGCTACTGGGAGGTTCTCCAAGTTACAGTGGGGAAGTTGACTTACCATACCACTCATCAACCCATGCAAAAGCCTGTCTATGTCCAATCAGCAGGATGTCTCGGACCACCTGGAAAGTAAAAGGCACAAGCTAAATAACATCATGCTTGGTTAAAACACCAAAACCAAAACAAACAAAAATCAGGCTATGTCCCATTCTGGGAGTCCTCGTGGTGATTACCTACGTCCCTGTCAGTATGTGGTGACAATTAGACTGACATGCGCAGACAGCACGCCTGCTCCCCCTTGACCCTTTGCACGCTGTGCATGTATTTTACTGGAAATGAATTTGTTTCATTTGAGCCTCGGGTTGGGGATGTGTAAAGGTGGATGACAAGTACCTGACAGTCACATGGCAGTGATTGAATGACTCTACACTCATCACCTGGAGGCTCTTCCTTTCATTGATCTTGAACCAAAACGGTGTCTGCTTTTCATTTGTGGGTGGGTGTACGTCTCTCTGGGACCAGGAGGGCACACATGCTGGAAATCAAGAGCACTTTTCTGGGCAGCAAGCCACTTCTACACAAAGAGCCCTTAACATTCCCTGTTCTCTGATGAATTATCCCAAATACTGATTCAGTTAAAAAAAAATAAAGGAGGGTGTGTGCCAGGGACCAAAGCACTTAAACCATCACCTACTGTTTCCCAGGAACTGGGTTGGGAGGAAGTTAGGGGTTAGGAGTGATAGCCAGGCACGGAACCCAGGCATTCTGATATGGGATGTTGGCATCTTTCTGCTGGGCCAAATGCCTGTTCCCAGTTATCTATGATTGAAAGAATGTAAGGGGCTCAGTGCAATAGCCTAGTGGCTAAGTCTTTGCCTTGCATTCACCCGGATTGCATACAGACACCCGTTTGTGTCCCCGCTACTCTTCTTCCCATCCAGCTCCCTGCTTGTGACCTGGGAAAGCAGCAGATTGTCCAAAGCCTTGGGACCCTGCGCCTGTATGGGAAACTGGGAGAAGTTCCTGCCTCCTGGCTTCAGATTGGCTTAGCTCCTGTCAGCTCTGGTTGTTTTGGCCACTTGGGGAGTGAACCAGTGGACAGAAGATCTTTCCCTCCGTCTCTCCTCTCTGTAAATCTGCCTTTCCAATAAGAATAAATATATCTTTTTTAAGAAAGAGAAAGAGCAGAAACAGCAGAAATGGGAGTGATAGGGTTGGTTGAAGACGGAATCAAGTGGTTGCTGAGGGTGACATGTCATGATAACAGAAGGCCAAGGAAAATCCCACAGGCCGTGTGTGTGTGTGTGTGTGTGTGTGTGGTCTGATACCGCTTATATGCTTTTATTGTTTTCTGTCTCATCCTGAATAATTTTTTAAATCTTTCTTGCACACTCACAGTCTCCCCGTAACATTCCTTTTTTTCCTGCCAAGCCAAATCCAGTGACTGTCGATACTTAAGGGCTAGGGGGAAGCAATTAGTAAACTATTACTATTTTTAAGTAAATCTATCAAGTTGAGAGACAGAGAGAGCTCCCATCTGCTGGCTGACAAGGGCTGGGGCTCGGCCAGGCTGAAGCCAGGAGCTTCAAACTCACCCATCTCTCCTCTGGAAGGGTTCGAGTTATGTTTCAGCAATTGACAGCTTTGAATTTGGTGTGTTTGCCCAAACAAGGGGAGCATTTCTAATGAAGTATTTGTATTAGCTCCTGGCCTTCGGATCCCCACGGAGGCTTCAGGACGGGGAGCAGGAGACATGCCATGAATAGAAGAAAGAATGCACAGTGCTGAGTGTGTCAAATTCAGGGAATGCAGAGGCGCAGCATCCAGGCATCAGTAAACACACCCCGTTATACGGAGCACAAACACAACACAGCTGCCGGCTGCAAACAAGAATTCAATCAAGTGCTAATGGCTCTGCGATTCAACAGTTTCCCCCTCTTAACTGTGAACAGACGCTTAAAAAAACAACAAAGGTGTTCAGAGAAAGGCATCCCTGGCACTTGAAGCCCATTCAAATGCTAGTCTCATTAGCTGGGTGAGCAGGTGTGTTTGGGGACATAGATCACACCTCATTATATTTGGAAATGGGCAATGGGAATGCCTGGAATAGAGCATTCTTCTTCCAGATTTTTTTTTTTAAGATGTGTTTATTTTTATTGAGAAGGCAGATTTACAGAGAGAAGGAAAGACAGAAAGATCTCTCATCTGCTGGTTCGCTCCCCCCAAGGGGCCACAATGGCCAGAGCTGTGCTAATCTGAAGCCAGCAGGCAGGAGCTTCTTCCAGGTCTCCCACGCAGGATGCAGGGTCGCAAGGTTTTGGGTATCCTCTACTGTTTTGCCACGCCACAAGTAGGGAGGCTGGAATGGAAGTGGAATAGCCAGGACATGAACCAGCATCCATATGGAATCCCAGGACATGCAAGGCGAGGATTCAGCTACTAAGTAACCCATTCTGGAGGCCAGTTAGGCCCAGCAACAAGACACTGCTGAGGACATCTGCATATGACATCTGAGTGTCCTGCTTTTGTTTTCCATTCTTGCATCCCCTTACTGTGCACCCGGAAGGCAGCAGGTGAGGCTTCATATCCATGGGCCCCTGTGTCCATGTGGGAAACCAGGTTGGAGTTCTGGCTCCTGGCTTCGGTGTAGCCCAGCTCAGGTTGCTCAGAGTATTTGAGGAGTGAATAGGCAGGTGGGAGATCTTTTGTCTCTCTGTGTCTCAGCCTCATCTCTCTGCCTTTCAAATAAGCTATGCTTTTTAAAAAGCCCAAGAAAATAGATTTTGAAAACCAGCCAAAGTCAATTGTAAGACAAGAAGATGCTGCAGCAATCTAAATTTGCTTTGTGGGAAGAAATAGAACGTGCTATGACAGCGGCCCTGTCAGCACTTTGTTTCGGGTTAAAAAGCTCCAGGAAAGGGATATTATGGGAAGTCAGATAAGACACAGCCTTAGATGCAAGGATGGGGCAGGAGAACGCTGACTCTGGGACCTGTGACTGCCTTCCTGCTTCTGGGAGGACGAGGAGAAGCTCCGGACCTCCATTCCCGTGGCGCTCCCTTTCAGCCAAGAGCTCAGTCCAGGAACCGCAGTCTTGTCTGTTTAGGAGCACACGCCGTGGCCTCTCACGTTTGTCCCAGGGTCTCTTACCATCCACCTAAACTATGGGGGCGTTGAGAAGCAAACCATCTCTTCCTTGGTCCTAGATCTAAGAATTAAACTTTCCATTGTCCATCGGCCCCCAATGTCAGGAGAGAAATCTATTCATGTATCAACTGCTCAGTGCATGCAGGTGAACTCCAGTGTCCCCCATCCCCCCGAAGTTCCAAGACTGTCCTTCATCAGTGTTTAAGCGGAAAGGTAAACAGAGTCAGCCCTGGAACACCTTAGAAACATAGAAAATTTAAATCACCACCAAGTGAATTCCTGCTGTAAAACTGCCATGTTTCATTAAGGTAGATATTCAACAGAAGCTCATACTCTGAGTTTGTTCCTCATTTTGTAGTAACACAATTGTGAAAGGGACAGAAACGTTGAGGTGTGCTACCTAATGGGACCAATGGAATTTCTTTTTTCATCTTATGGGCGCTCTCCCACCTTAGGAGCCTACATCCGCAGGAGCTGTCTGAGTGAGAATTGGCCTACGAGCCGTGCACACTGATAAATGCCCTGGCCGCTTCCCAAGGGCCTTCCTCAGCAAGCAGATTAGCCCAGTGCTCAAGACAGAAGTGTATTTGGAAAGCTCCAGGCCCCAAAGCTCCAGGTCTCTCTCTCAGACAGCAGCTCAGAGAGAGAGAGAAAGAGGAAGAGTGAAACATCAATTACCAGCAAAAAATGAAACCCAGGTATGCCACGCATCTGCGCCTAAGAGGTGAGTTTCACATGCAGTCACCTGGCTTTGGTTTGGCAGTTGTGTCTCACACACTTCATCCTGCTCGTAAAGACAACGGCCTTGGCTGTAGTCCAGGAACTGGTATTGGTTCACGTACCTTATGAACGAACTGTTCCACTCTGGTCTGGAGTCCCCAGACCTCAAACTTGACAGTCACCAGCTTGTAGGAGCACATGATGGGCTGATGGTGATCCCTCCAGCCTTCCCTTAGCTGTCCCCGGCCCGTCTTCTCGGACTTGAAGTGTTTAGGATCCTGGGGGGGAATGTATCAAAGAAACGGATATATTACAAGTTTGACTCTCTAGAGGACATGTCCAGCGTAGGAAAATCCAGGGAGGAAGTAGATTCACGGCTGCCAGGGATTGGCGAGGGGTAGGGATGTGCTGTGTCCACTCATGGGCTCAGGCTTTCTTGCTAAGATGGTGAAATCACTTCGGAACTAGGTAGTGGTGATAGTCACGCCACCCCGTGAGTACCAACTCCATCGAGTTGTGCCCTTCGTTAGAGCACGAATTGCAGGGCATCTTCATTTTATAAAAGGAAGTTTGTGATGGGATCAAGTGGCAAGAAGACAGCTCACCTAATTTAAATGTCAAAAAAAGCGATTTAAAACGAGATCTTACAATATCGTGCTATATTTTCCCTTGACCTTGGGGCCAATAAACTTTGCTACAGAGAAAGGCGGCTGGTTTGTTTCTGTGAAGTGCAAATTGGTACAATCACCATGGTCGATTACTCAGCAATGCCAACAAATATGTACAAAGCGAAGCAGATGCCTAACTACGATTTGATAGCTCCACGTCTAGAGTACAACGTGTGCCCTCGGCCGCCAAAAGACTATTCTGAAACATTCACAACAGCTTTAAACGTAAGAGACAAAGAATGGGAACAGTTCAGACTTTCATCCGTAGGAAGCCAGATCATCTCATCAGGGGACAAGACACCCAAGGAGAAAAGAATAAATAATTCCTGCTGGTTGACACATGTAGGAATCACGTGCGAGTCCCACAGACTAGGTTAACCCAAGAGCCAAATGCAAGAGCGGAGTGTACACTGTGCAATTCAAACTGAAGTCCAAGGGTAAAATGTATCTACGGGATTAAAGCAAGAGGCGCAAGGGTCTGTGCAAAGCGGCCTAAGAGGAAACCCCGCAGTGATTTTATGTTGAGCTGGATGTAGCATGCAAACATTTACCAAGTCTTTACATCTTTCAGCTGTAAGACTTAACGAAGAACAGTAGAAAAGGTGTCTTTTTGTTTTGTTTTAATGTGTAACCATGTCGTATTTGCTCAGTGATCGTCAGATGGAGATCAGCCACTACTTAGATCACTGGAGATCGTTTCTCCAGAGGTGCTTCCAAGCCGACACAGAACAATGTGCAGAGTGGCCCTGCTTGATGTTTAGAAGTCTATGTGGAATGTTCACGCTCATGAAGAGAGCTTGTGGGGCTTGCTTCGCGAGCTGGGTGGGCGGCCCTTGACTAGGATCCTCATCCCGGCCCTGGCGGATGGAGGCAGAAGCCAGGGGTGAGAGGTGACAGCCCCAGGTACAGAGCAGAAGCAGAAAAGAAGGGTCTGGTCTAATGTAAAGAAAAAGTAGATGGGCAGAGAGCAGAGCAGCCAGGTGGGGACTGACCCAGTCCCTGCAGGAGTGAGGCTGAGTGATCTCTCTCTCTCTCTCTCTCTCTCTCTCACACACACACCCCTCTGGCTGCAGCTGCACAGGGCTGTCTGGTGCTCGCTTCTGAAGAGGTTTAGCCAGCTGCCATCACCAGCCTCTGCAGCTGCGACTCCTCCAGGAGAGATACCTGTGCGTGCTCCTGCCACTGTGTCCCCTCCTCCAGGCAGCCCAAGTAGAGCCTTATCTTTCCCACCTTCATGTTCTGTGGCCAGAGGGGCTTCCCAATGCATACTCCCAAACCCATCCCACAGCACCCACCAAGTCATCAGGGGTAACATTAAAATGCCCTGGCATGGAGCTGCTCGCACCTCATGGGTCAGCATCCCAAGCCCACAGTTCTCCGCTTTGCCCCAGGAAGTGCCTCGCAGCCCCAGGCTGACATCCCAGAAACTGAACATTTTTTGGGCAAGTGTTGGGGGGTCTCCTTCTGAAGTTCCCTCATTGCAGCCAACTGCATTCTCTGCCTGTATCTCCTTTTCTTTCAAGACTCAATCCCGGGGTGGCCGTGGGTACGTGACACACCTGCCTCTCCACTGGGCGTGCCCAGGTTTGAGTCCTGGCTCTTCTGATTCCAGTTTCCTGCCAACGTAGACTCTGGGAGGCAGTGTGGTGGCTCAGGTAGTTAAGCTCCTGCTTGGCATGTGAGAGACCTGGCATGAGTTTCTGGTACCTGGGTTCAGCCTGGCCCAGTTCTGGATGTTATGGGTATTTGAGTAGCAAACCAGAGGATGGAAGATTTCTTTGCCTTTCAAAGAAGTGAAATAAACAAATAAAACACTCTACCACAAATACAATCTAAAGTGTTCTATGCGTTACTGAGGTGGCATCTTCAAGGCGGACACCAGCTCTGCATTTAACAGGTGTCCCCACACACAGTGATGCTGTAGTGGTCCTTAAGTTGAGCATATGTTCAGTATTAGATATGAGCAGTGAGAGCCTGGCTCTCTTACTGACTTTTCTAAAAAGGTGCATTTATATGAAAGGCAAAAACAACAGAGACAAGTTGAGACAATTAGAACAAGGAAGCTAATGAGAGAGAGAGAGAGAGAGAGAGAGAGAGAGAGAGAGAGAGAGAGGCAGAGAGAGAGTTTTCATCCACTGATCTGCTCTCTAAATAACTGCAATAGCTAGGTCTGGGTTAGGTCTCCCACATGGATGGCAGAAGCTGGATTAGAAGTGGAGTTGGTGGGATTGAACTGATACTCAATTCTGAATCCTGATTACAGGATACCAGGGTAGTAAACAGCAGTTTAACTCACTAGGCCACAACGCTGGCCCCATACATAACCAGTATTAAGAGGATGGAAACTAAATTCATTGGTGGTGTTTGGAGGCGGAGACACTGGAAAGGGATAAAATTAAATTAGGTCATTAGGATGGATGAGATCATGGGGATGTGAAAACCCTCTATAAGAGGGACAGAGATACAGAAGTGCCCACATGCTCCTGTCATGGCATGATACAGCCCAAAGAGGTCCCATACCACAGCCAGCTCCATGTTACTGGGATCTTGTGTGTCCAGAACCATGAGCCAAAATAAAGCCCTTCCCTCAATAGCTGACTGCCTGAATATGGAGTCATAGGAATATAAAGCAAACACAGAAAGGAACATAAAGTCTGTCCTGCTATGGGAGTAGAATAAGATGGACAACAGGGATTCTGGGAAGGGTTAAGAAGAAGAGGATGAAGAAGGATTGTCCCAGGGGAATATGTGTGTGACAGGGCTGATGACCTTGGCTGTGGGAAGCCTTTTGGAAGCTTTGTTTCCAACTTTGTGATGTTGTTTGTCCATTGTCTGAACCAACCCAGAAGCTGCCCCCGAGAGCAGATGCACAGGCCTGGAAAGATTACACTAATTTAATAACACAGTACATGAAAAAAGCCTAAGTGCAGGGCCTGGCCCATAGCAAGTGCTCAATTGATGTTGGCCATTACTGCACTTCCCGAGGCAGCCAATGGAACCTTTATATGACATGTCCAACCCTGCAGTCTGGAGCAAAGACGGCATGCTTTCCCAAAGCTGCCAGGCAAAGATTTGATGTTTAAAGCAACAGGATTAATTTTCCCTAGCCTTATATGCTCTTATAGTGGATAATGCCATTAAGAATACCAAGATGATGATCATTATAATAATGAGTAAGTGGGAGAAAAAATTTGGAGGTGATGGATGGGTTTTTCAGTATACGTTGTGGTAAAGGTTTCATGAGGACAAGCTTATCTTCAAATTCACTGGGCTGTGTGCATTAATTTTGTATGTCAAAAAATTTTTTTAAATTATATTGAGTTGAAATAAAAGGAGAAGACAAAAACAAATCAAGCATGCATCATCAGGCAGACTACAATGCATTGCCTTCCCTCACTGCACTGGGGTGCTGGTCCTCTCATCTGGTGCTGGTGTTGTGGCATGCAGAAGAACTTGCTGCTTGCAATGCAGGCATCCCATACTAGAGTGCTGGTTCAAGTTCTGGCAGCCCTGCTTCTGATCCAGCTTCCTGCAAATGCACCTGGGAAGGCAGTGGATGACGGCCCAAGTTCTTGAGCCCCTGCCACCAAGTAGGGGCCCTGGATGGAATTTCTGTCTCCTAGCTTTGGCCTGATCCAGCCCTCACTACTGCAGCTATCTGGGGAGAAAACTAACAGATGGAAGACCTCTGTCTCTCTGCCTTGCAAATAAATGAATTAAATCTTGAACAGGGAGCGGGGTTGGTGCTATGGTGCTGGAATTCCATATGGGTGCCAGTTGGCATGCCAGCTGCTGCTTCACTTCTGATCCAGTTCCTTTTGATTGTACCTGGAAAAGCAGAAGATGATCCAAGTGCTTGGTCCCTTGCACTAGAGTGTGGGAGACCCAAAGAAGTCCCCAGCTCCTAGCTTCATATGGGTCCAATTCTGGTCCATCCAACCATTTGTGGAGTGAGTCAGATTATGCAAGATCTCTTTTGTCTCTTCCTCCCCATAACCCTTTCAAATAAAGTCCTTAAAAAAAGTGGGCCTGGTGCAATAGCCTAGTGACTAAAGTCCCTGCCTTGCATGCACCAAAATCCCGTATGGGTACTGGTTCATATTCTAGTTGCTCTACTTCCCATCCAGCTACCTGCTTGTGGCATGGGAAAGTAGTGGAGTACGGGCCCAAAGCCTTGGGACCATGGACCCCTGTTAAGTGGCTCCTCACTCCTGGCTTCAGATAAGCTCAGTTCAGGTCACTGTGGTCATTTGAAAACTGAACCAGCGAATGGAAGATCTTTCTCTCCGTTTCTCCTTCTCTCTGTCAATCTGTCTTTCCAATAAAGATGGGTGGATTTAAAAAGAAAAAAAGAAAAGAAAAAGAAAAAAAGGAGAGTCTATCTCTTCTTCCCTTGAATTTAATCTGGTTGGTGCTTTGCTTTGGTGGATAGAATATGGTGAAAGAGACACTTTGCTGGTTTCAACTTTTAAGAGAAGCTGGAAACCAGAAACCGGAAGCCTGCCATTATGTAAAAAGCCAAGTCTGAGTACCTTAGACCACTGCACTGCGGGGTCGCTGAAACTAGCCACACTGGGAGAGCGAGTGAAGGATCTTCGACCAGGTCTTAG